ACTTTTAAAGGCTTTTTGACTGAGGATTATTATCGTAATCATCAATTGGTGCATGGCTGGAGCACTACCCTCCCAAGTTATTTCAGGGATTCAAAGGTTTCCATACATCACCAAAGTTGAATAAACTGGGTATGCGCGGATCCAACACCTGTGAATTGGTCTTCGAGGATTGTGAAATCCCAGGTGCAATGTTTCGCTTAATGCACTCCTCGTGTTACACTTCAACAATTTTATTTGTAGAAGAAAATGTGATGGGAGGTGTCGGAAAAGGAGTTTATGTACTGATGACAGGTCTTGATTACGAGCGCTTAGTACTTTCCGGTGGACCTTTAGGGTAAATTCTATGCTATGACCTCAAAGTAATTCTAATTCCCTGATTTTTTAGTATAATGCAAGCAGCCTGTGACATAGCTTTTGAATATGCTCATCATCGTGAACAATTCGGCACACAAATAGGGACTTTCCAAGTAAGTCTTCAAAATCAATATGATTTTTGAGCTGCACTTATATTTCCAGCTAATCCAAGGTAAAATGGCAGATATGTATACAACGATGAACGCCTGCAGATCTTACCTGTATACAGTTGCAAAGGCCGCAGATCAGGGTCATGTTTCGAATAAAGTGGGTTTTTTTCCAAAATTGTTAATAAACACCTTTATATATTTCGGATCAAAATCAAGCCTCATTTTCCTGAAGCTTCCACACACTCTTATACCTCTACAGGCCTACCATTGCTTTTTAGGATTGCGCTGGTGTTATACTGTATCTAGCCGAAAAGTGTACGCAAGTATGTTTGGATGCCATACAAATACTTGGTAAGTGACAATGACGATAGAGCGGCGGCAAGGGCGAGAGAGAGAACGGTTCTCGAAATCTTCGAATGTGAAGCCCAAATTCAAGTGGAGTAGAAAATACACACTTTTATTCACTAGGTGTAAATTTAGTACAAATTCTCGAAAATCAAGAATGTATGAAGAAATTCTTACTCAAACGATAAAAAG